AGAGGCATTTAGGATATAAATTATTTATGGGACATTAAAATGTTTAACTGCAGTTCTGGAAATGTCTCTAAATATATCAAGCACACAAATATAAATAATTTGAACATAAAATGTTTCTTTTTAAGAACTTGTCCTTGACCCATGACATGTTAGATTTGGATTTTTACTGGTGTGCCTTAACACCTCTTTCTATCACGGTACCCAAAGGACTGTGACTGAACACTTGTCTGTCTTCCACACAGCACACAGAAATGATATATTCTAAGTTCTGTAAGGACAGGAACCAGGTTTGTCTCGTCCATTTTCTATCCTCGGAGCCTATCACAGTATGTATTCAATAAATGTTTAGTGAATCACATTAATCTGCTTTAGCATATAAACCATAAGATAGGTTTAAGCAAAGACAAATATAAAAACCAAGGATGTTTAAAAATGCATCTGAAAAAAGTTTCCTAGAGCTTTTATTTAAAAAAATGTATCACACATGTTTAGAAGCATCTCTTCTGTCTTATATATATGCAAGAAGTTAAAAAATATGGATAATGCTATTAAAAGACTAAACACTATTAATTTACATAATTGGTACTATCTTTACCCCTAAATTTGGTGACTTTATAGAATATGTTTGATAAAGGCCAACACTGAAAGAAGCTGGCCAACGCCCATATTAGAAAAACGGCTTTGACAAATGTCACTTACCAATGAGAAAGCAAGTATAAAACAGTGAGATAATTTCAGTATTCTTCTAAGTCATAATTATTTATTTTCTATGCAATACCTAGGAAGGTTAGGCTTGACCAATAATAATAATGGTATAAATAAAAAATTATGATTAATTTAAATTCATACACCTGAGATCATACAAAAAAAAATACATAAAACTAAGGAATACTTGGAAAGAAAAACAGTTTCCCCAGTAATTGTTTACATATTTTCAAAGTAAGGAGTTTCTCTCAAATGATGAAATTATTGTTTATAATAAAGAATCTTGAAATTATCTGCAAGGATAAGGGAAGTGATTTTTTTTTAAAAAGGAAAAAATTGAGAAATTCTTTAGGATAAAGAGTCCTAAATGGGAGTCAATATTTAATTTTCACTGTAAATATTATTTGGAAGGGAAAGAAAGGGATGGACTTAGAATTCATGAATACAAGGCAATTACTCTTACAGATAAATTTTCATTTTATATTTCCAATTTCTATTATTTTTCATGTTGGGACATTATCTGATATTTTTTAGAAACAAGCATAATTCTCTATTTTTTAGTCAAGAATTTTAATTTCTCATTTCTTTATGCCAGTACAGACAATGCAATGTGGAGGAGTTTTGCTTAAAGTAGCTTTTTAAAACAGATTAAAGAATCAAATTTGTTCTATCTTGGATCATAGGTATAAAGTAGGACAAAAAGACCCGTATCTATCTTAAAAGAAAAAAATGAGGTCATTATTAAGGCAACATAGCATTTTATACTAATATTCACGCAAGGTCAAAATTTTTAATCCTGTTGCTAAATGAAATTACACAGAAAACCAAAAGATAAAAAGAAATTTAAACCAATATTGTCTTATCTAAAACCAGGCTTTTGAAATACAGATATCAGATTTGGTTATTTGAAATAGACTAAATTTTTATTCACATAAAAAAAATAATACTTAGCTGTGATTACCTGTATAAAATGCTGGCTATAGTACATGGAAGCCCTAAAGATCATTATTAAGATGAAAGCTAATGACTACAAGTTTTCAATTTAGGATTAGCTATGTTTACTGCCCATATAACTCAAATCTAATACTTTCAGATAAAACCTCATGAACTAAAAATAACTTTAAAAGCCCTACAGGACTTACACTACTAGATATCAAGATTTATTATAACATTGTAATAATCAAGACATTATGGTATATGCTTCAAAGGCAGAAAAACAAACTAATTATGGAGATTATAAAGTCCAGAAATAGATGCACATGTATACAGTTATTTGATTTTATGACAAAGGTGACCCTGTAGTGCGGTGGAGAAAGAGTGGTCTTTTCAATAAATGATGCTGGGTCAAGTGAATATTCACATGTGAAAAATAAATCTTGACACCGTATCACACCATACACAAAAAAATCAACTCTAGCTGATACAAACAACCAAATGGAAAAGATCAAACAATAAAGCTTTGGAAGGAAAGCATAGGAGAAGCTTTTCAGGACCTTACTTGAGATAGGCAAAGATTTCTTAAATGGTATTCAAAAGTACTAACCATAAAGGAAAAAGTGGGTAAACTAAACTACATTAAAATAAAGAACTCTTTCAAAGATAACATTACCAGAACACAGAAACAAGCCACAAAGTAGAAGGTTTCTTGTAACACATACATCCTTTGTTGGACATATAAAAAATTCTTTAAAATTAATAATAAAAAGGCAGATAACCCCTTAGAAAAATGAGCAAATGATTTGAAAAGCCACTTCATAAAAGAGAATATCCAAATGGCCACTTAACAATTGAAAAGGTGCTAGTACTTCATTAGTTACCAGAGAAATGCAAATTAAAATCATAGTGCTATACCATTATACAACCACTGGAAAGGGTAAAATTAAAGAGATGCATAGAATCAAGTGTTGGTGAGGATGTAAAGTAACAGAAATTCTCAGATACCATTGTTGGAAGTGCAAATAGTCTAACCACTTTGGAAAACTAGTTGGCAGTATTTATTAAAAGTGAATAAACATTCACCCTGTGACCCGGAAATTTCCCTGTTATACACAGACCCAAGAAAATGCATATGTGTGTGTATATATGTACACACATGTATGTATATCCATACACATATATACGTATACACACACACACATAACTTTAAAACCAAAGGGACATAGAAGAATGTTCACAAAATCATTATTTATTATAGTCCAAAATTAGGAACAACCCAAACAATACTAGATTGGATAAACTGTGGTATATTTAGACAATACTCATAAAATGTTACTATACACAATGACATGGATGAGTCTTACAAAAACAATGATAAGAGAAAGAACCAGACAGAATAGTAATCCTATATGATTTCATTTATGTATAGTTCAAACACTTTTTAAGTTAAAAATCTATAGTGTTACTGTCTAACCCCATACACAAAAGTAAATTCAAAATGGATCAAAGACCTGAATGTAAGTCATGAAACCATAAAACTCTTAGAAAAAAACATAGGCAAAAATCTCTTGGATGTGAACATTAGTGACTTCTTCATGAATATATCTCCCCAGGCAAGGAAAACAAAAGCAAAAATGAACAAGTGGGACTATATCAAGCTGAAAAGCTTCTGTACAGCAAAGGACACCATCAATAGAACAAAAAGGTACCCTACAGTATGGGAGAATATTTTCGTAAATGACAGATCCAATAAAGGCTTGACATCCAAAATATATAAAGAGCTCACG